GAAGAACTGCGTGCTTTCATTACCCATATAGCTGCTCCGTAGACTAGTCAAAATAAGAGTCCCGCCTTAGTAAAGGAGATCTCATACATATTTAAACTTACAAAAAATATTAAAATGTATACAAAAACAAATTAGAAGATTAATCATAATAAAGTCTGTTACAATAAAGAAGGATTAATATGTATTTAATTTATACAGTGAAGTGTTAAGAATATTTCTGTACCTGAAAACTGTTAAACCTACCTAAAAAGCACTGTTTATTTAATATGTATCTTTGTTCTGTTGTATTTATGTAGGCCTGCTGAATGTTAAATGGATCCAGTCCATGTTCATTAGAAATAATTTGATGATGCAGCAATAAAACTGCTAGTATAATTTAATGCAGGTGTTTTTGAACTTTGCTGATTTAAAACATGATCAAAATGCTATCGATTTAAAACATGATCAAAATGCCAAATAAGAGAGGAAGTGACAAATATCGGAATCGGGCAATAAGTGTTTGTTAAAATCGGTATCGGCCCCAAAAAATCCTATCGGTGCATCCCTAGTGTGAAGTGAATTAATGTAAATTTTATGAATGAAAAGAGCGCAAATCAAACACTGCATTGCTGTTGCCTCTCCGTGCATCTCCCAGAAATCAGAGCTTGGCAAGAGTAATATCACCTATAATTATACATCATACACGTTCTATTATTTGTATACATTTAAAAGGCAATGATTTAAACCGTAGGCTACGGTATGATACGAATGAATGGAATAACCACAGCGTGCTCACCAATCAAACAGCCGCGTTGCGTGTCTCACAGTCTCTCAAAAACCAAACCAGCTCTCTCAAGAGTAGGCTAATAATCATCTTAGATACAGATACATTTTCTACTAGGCCTACATGTTTGCATCTTAATCTTTTGCTGGTTTGCGTGGCACACACACATTTGTTTAGTGAAGTTCAAAAAAAGACTCGCTTAAAGAGTTCTGCGTAATGAAAATGTGCGCCTTGAATTAATTCAGTATGAATTATCAGTTCAAATGATCACTAAACGTTTGTCATGACGACATCTTGCATGATAAATATATTTTTAGAAATGAATAATTATTTTAGTTTAACACGGCATACTTGTACAATGACATAACGGTCTTATCAAGTAACTGTACGACGTTCCACCTGGTTTTATCCGAATGCAGATACGAATAATTTTGTGATTGTTACAGATACAAATACTGGCTGTTACATGAAAATTTAAATATGTAATGTCATAATTATAAAGTTTTGAAAATTTACATATGTAATTGTTGCATTAGGCTATGAAATAATAAGCGTTTATTGATATATATATATATATATATATATGTTCTTGATATTTACTACCCTAACAGAAACCTTTATGGATTTTTACATTGTAACTAAGAAATAGTTTAGCACAATAGTTTTGTTAGAGGAAAAGAACGAAATTTAAGTGAGAGTGATTTAAGTGAAACTGGCAACAAAATCTGTGAAATTTCACAGAAAACAAGCAGAATGTTTTTGTCTTTTAAGATTCTTTTAAGGTTGGATTACAAGATTCTGCGTTTCAGCCTGAGTGCCTTGTTTACCTGGCTCTCTCTTTTCACAGGGCGAAGCATCTCGATACATTTTCCTCAACAAATTCCGCAAGTTCCTTCAAGAGAACGCCAGCAATAGAGGGGTAGGACGCAGGACACGGGACACGATAACGGCTCTGTCCTCCTTTATACCTTGCATCAACATGCTTTCCATATCTGGATAGTATCTAGATATTCTTTAGCTGGATTGTGCTGTATTTATTCTTTTCTATAGAGACATTACCAAAATAAAGGATGCTAACAGGAATTAGGAAATTATATTTCAGAATGCATCTGAGAAGCTGAACTTGGAATAGAGTGAGTGATGAATTGTTGAGGAGTAGTTTAGTGGAATAATTTCCTCAGGCCATCCAAGATGAGTTTGTTTCTTCATCAGATTTGGAGAAATGTAGCATTGCATCACTTGCTCAGCAATGGATGATATGCAGTGAATGGGTGCCGTCAGAATGAGAGTCCAAACAGCTGATAAAAACATCACAATAATCCACAAGTAATCCACACCACTCCAGTCCATCAGTTAATGTCTTGAGAAGTGAAACGCTCCGTGTTTATAAGAAACATGAGGTTTTACCTTCAAACCAAGTCCTCTTTCCATAATATTGCCAAATCTGTTCTGATTATGAAGCAAACTCCTCTACATCTTGAGTATGTACATTTTCAGCACATTTTCATTTTTGGGTGAGCTATTCCTTTACATGTGAGAAATAGATCATAAGACCACAGTTTTTTTTTTCTCGAAAGAAGAAGTAAAAGCTGCAAACTCGCCACACAGCATTTGGTAAGATTTAACAGAAGTTCCACAGAAGTTCTTGCAATTTTAATGCCACATACAGGAAATATATTACTTAATGTGCTTTGATGACTGAAATATTGGCTATGTTTTTTTATTAGTTCCAGTATCATATAAACTGGGAAACTGCTGGCAAAAAGGATGTAAAAACAAAAAAAAAGGTTGAGGACTTTTATCATGCTCCATGCACTCTTTCCCTGCTTACACTTCACAGAAGTAAATGAATATGGCCATTGTCTGTAACATGATTGTTGTCGATGGGATCGTTTCAGTTATTTTGCAGTGATCAGGGTTTTAACTGGAGGGTTTGATGTGTGTCTCATGCTTCGTTTGATGTGTTGTGATGTTATGTGTGTGTTTGTGTGTTCAGAACCCCACAGTGTTGTGTCCTCCTGAATACATGGTGTGTTTCATACACCGGCTCATCACGGCCATCAGGAGCTACTGGGATGAAGGCAAGAGAAAAAGCCCAGGATCCATCAGCAGTGAAGGTACACAACGCACACATTTTGTTCTTTTTATTCTGTTCGATTCAGGGTTCTTATAGATTTAGTTACAGTTAACTAAAACTAAAATCTTAAAAAAAAAAAGTTCAGATAGTTGCCATGGCAACATTTCTCATTTTTGTTTAGTTTATCATAAAGCACTAAAACAAAATAAAAATGAATAATAATAATTATAATTATAAAATACATAGACATAAAAATGACAAACACACCAGAAAAGTGCTAAAACTTTAACTAAAATTAAAGTGAAAATATAAATATACAAAAACTATGGTAGTATATCAATAATAATAAATCAACACCGGCTCTTTTCATTTTCTTCATTATGATATCAGGACAGTTGTATGGACATATATGTGGACATATTTGACGTTATGCACCCAAAACTTTCAAAACAAATTTTAATTCAGAAATTAATAACGCACTCATTACCAAAGAGGCGCATTCAAGTAACTGAACGTATGAATTGCCTTTTTAATGGATGAGTTGTTAGTCAGGCAAGTATTGTTACCTAAAACTTGAACTATTACAAATATTTCTGGTAACTGAAAAAAAGCTAATAAAAAAAGAAAAACTTCCAATGAAAATTAAAAATCTTGCCTTGGCAAATAACTGAATAAGTTGAAGCACTAAAATTTAAATAAGTTTAAGTTGCAGCAAATGAATTAAACCTAAATGGTTACATTTAAAAAAAATGTCAAAATACAATTCAAGTCATGAAAAATGACAAAAAATTAGTTAAAAATTAAAATACAAAAATAAAAGCTAATTCAAAATATTTATAAAACCCAAACAGTATGTAAGTAATACTAAAAAAAAGTCTGCTTATTTTTTATCAGTGAGAACATCTTTTTATGAACCTAGGAGAGGAGGTAATTCTGACTTTGCTATGACAATCTGGCGCTTCTGAATCAGCTACTGTTTTGTTATTAGTTTAAGTATTTGCTATTGACTGTTCAAATGCCGAGTTTTGCAAATTGTGTGTGTGTGCACGCGAGCGAGCGAGAGGGAGAGAAAGAGAGACAGACAGGGTCTCATCACCGTGGAGTCAGCTGTCTTAACCGTGGCTTGTGTACTGCAAACACGTACCAGCTTCATCACTGTGTCTGTCACGCCACTCTGTTCCCCTTTCTGGTTCTGTCTTTACATTTATTTTGAAAGATGAAGCTCACGATTATGGTAAGAGACGTTACATTTCCGACGAGTGCTTGCGGTGTTCGGCCAATCACAATGCACTGGGTCAGCTGGCCAATCAGAGCAGACTGCGCTTGTTGGAAAGAGGGACTTTGTAGAAAACGAAGCGTTTGAGAGAGGCGGGGCATAGAGGAGCTACAATAATGTACAGTATTTGAAAAATAATGTGTTTTTTGAACATTAAAGCATGTCAACATATTCTGTTACATCAAATACACAAAATAATGATCTTTAAAAAATCCATCATATGACCCCTTTAAGAATTATAATAGTGTAATGTAGTTAAGGTGAAATTAGTCAATTAATGCACCACTGGCATTACTAAACAGGAAATAAAATGTTTTCTGTTAGACCAGTTTCCCCTGTTTGCCATTGGTCAGCCTAAATTCACGCCATTGGTTGAGTATTAATGTGCAGGTCTGGTCGAGATGTAGATGTAGAGTTTGTTTGTTCATCAGAACAGGTTTGTAGAAATGTAGCATTGCATCACTTGCTCACCAATGGATGGTCTGCAGTGAATGGGTGCCATCAGAATGAGAGTCCATTCCAAATAGCTGATAAAAACATCACAATAATCCACACCACTCCAGTCCATCAGTTAATGCCGTGTGAAGTGAAAACCGCTGTGTTTGTATGAAACAAATCCATCAAGATGTTTTTAACTTCAAACCGTTGCTTCTAGCTAAAATTTGAGACTTCTTTCCATAATATTGCTTCCTCCAGTGAAAAAGGTGTCTTGTCTGAATCAAGGTTATTATAGTTTAGAATTTTTTTATTTGTTTTATTTTAATATCGTTTTCAAATTTGCTATAAAATTCATTAGTCAATTAATGCACCACTGGCATTACTAAACAGGAAATAAAATGTTTTCTGTTAGACCAGTTTCCCCTGTTTGCCATTGGTCAGCCTAAATTCACGCCATTGGTTGAGTATTAATGTGCAGGTCTGGTCGAGATGTAGATGTAGAGTTTGTTTGTTCATCAGAACAGGTTTGTAGAAATGTAGCATTGCATCACTTGCTCACCAATGGATGGTCTGCAGTGAATGGGTGCCATCAGAATGAGAGTCCATTCCAAATAGCTGATAAAAACATCACAATAATCCACACCACTCCAGTCCATCAGTTAATGCCGTGTGAAGTGAAAACCGCTGTGTTTGTATGAAACAAATCCATCAAGATGTTTTTAACTTCAAACCGTTGCTTCTAGCTAAAATTTGAGACTTCTTTCCATAATATTGCTTCCTCCAGTGAAAAAGGTGTCTTGTCTGAATCAAGGTTATTATAGTTTAGAATTTTTTTATTTGTTTTATTTTAATATCGTTTTCAAATTTGCTATAAAATTCAGTTTAGTTTTTATTAGTTTCATTAATATTTTTGTTAGTTTTAGTATAGTTTTTATTTTGTGAACACGTTTTTATATAGTTTAGTTTCAGTTTTGAAGTTTAGCAGAATTATCAGATCACTTCCAGAGCATAGGCCAAAGAAAGACGTAGGCATAATTTAACCTTAGAGAGGCAAACATATAGCAACACAAAATTAACGCATGCTGAGATTGATTAGATAGTAAAAGTATACAAATATACGCCAAAGAAAGCAGTCAAGCCTTTTTTACTCAATCAATCTATAGTTTAAAAGTTGAGCTTAATGTCATATCCAATGATGTGTGTTGAGATATTTAGTATGAAAATAAATGTAGCCTGATTTGGTTATGTCTTTTCTTATTTAACCATAATCATGATATTGTAACTGTGGTGTCTTGCTCACTTTTCCGTGAACAGCCGTGCATAAATCAAAACTAGGACTAATGAAATTTAATAATAACGGCAATCACATTTATCAGTAAAGGCTTATATTTGAATGTTCTTTTCATTTATGAAGAATTATAAGCGTGTGTATGATGTGATTTAGCCAATGCACATTTGTTCAAAAGCCTGGCAGAATGATCAGAAGATGCTAGACAAAAGTTTTGTGTTTACAGAAATGACGTGTGTTTTTTTTCTGTTAATTATCATATTGCGCTGCATGTCTGTTTTTCTTCAAAGCACCAGCTTGGAATGCCTAATGTTGGTTTGATTGCTTGTGTTTCATGATAGACTTAATGTGAGTGCCGTTCTGGTCTGGTACAGAATTAAATTAGTGCTGCTGTCAGATAATGGGTCAGGTGTTCTGTTAAGTACTGCTGGTGCACGTTTACCAAACAGGACCCGTGCAGGCTTTAAACTGCTTTGCGTCTCTCCGTCAGATAACCCCATGTGTGTGATGCGCCATTACAGGTAGGCTATTTCCCTAAACCTCCATACAGCTCGTATATTTCTGCCAAGGGGTGAGAACGTAATGATTACGAAAACGATTATTTATTTTTGATAATTATTATTTTATTTCAGTTAGTTTTTCAATAACTGTTGTTAGTTTAGTTTCGTTTGAGTTTTTTTCAATTATTTTGACGTTTTTATTTTATTTCAGTTTACGAAATGGTTTTTTCATCAATCGTTTTAGTCTTAGTTTTAGTTTTCGTTTACGAAAAAAAACCTTGGTCTGAATCAGGAGAGAAATCTGCGCAGGTCAAGAACAAGTGAAAACAGTCCACAACAGCTCTGAACAAATATGTCTGTGTATTTTGATGTGAGAGGACAACAGGAGATGGACTTTCACTGGAGGAAGAGTAGTTATGGATTATCGACTCCTGGCCAGAAGTGACTGTTTAAAGTTTAAAGTCAAAACACCTTGATGGATTTGTTTCTGACAAACACGCAGCTTTTCATATTACATGATGTTAACTGATGGAGTGGTGTGGATTACTTGTGGATTGTGATGTTTTTATCAGCTGTTTGGACCCTCATTCTGACGGCACCCATTCACTGCATATCATCCATTGCTGAGCAAGTGATGCAATGCTACATTTCTCCAAATCTGATGAAGAAACAAACTCATCTTGGATGGCCTCAGGGTGAGTAAATGTTCAACTAATTAATTTTTTTGGTGAACTAATCACTAAGTGTGGAGCATTGCTAATTTGAGTTAGTTTCACCTCAACACTATATATGGTAGTATGTGGTTCATTAACTTTCCACATTGTAAATGCCTCAAGAAACTCGAGAAGTGGCCTTGCTGCTTGTACACCATGAAAACATAATATGAATCTGAGTCATATTTGCATAATTTCATAATCCAGTTTCCCCATATTATAGTTATCAATAAAAGTGTCAAAATAGTAAAAGAAATCTTCTGACCTTTGGCATACTATTTTCGATGAATTATGATTTGAGGCACACGTAATCTGGTGTACTGTACAAAATGGATGGTACGTAAATTATGAATCAGCCTAGTACTGTTCACCCATTGTGATTAAAATAAAAGGCATCTTTCGACAGTTGTGTTTGTATACGCTTGTTTCCATTAACAGGGAGAGGCGAGACATGTCTTGTCGTGTGTCACAGCTCTGCTGTACCAAAGTTTGAATTTCATTCATTCTTACTCCGTCTCTCCATTGCTTTTGTCTCCTAAACACACATCTTCCACCGGTGTTCCTGTTCTCTGACCTTCTTTGATTAAAAGCTGGTAATTACATTGTTCCTGTTCCTGTATGGTTTCCCTGCTGATTCTGCAGGAACGTCTCCTCCTCCCTCTGGCTTTGAGGAAACAAGGGAAGGATGAGTGAAGAATGGGACGCACTCATTGTATCCGTGTTTTTTTTACAGTGACGGTCGTCGGCTGTCGGTTTTGATCAATTTATTTTGAATTTGTGTACAAAAATTTAACCTTGTCATCTGGACTTTATCTTGACAATATT